TGTACCGTGTTAGCAATCAGGACAAATGGGCACTAGGTTTGAATACACCATCTCTTTAATCCCATGCCTTGACTTCAGCAACTTACAGTTCCAACAGTTTGGCTGCTGAGCCTTTGCTTCTTACCAGGATCTAAGTAGATTTAAACAGTCCCAGAAAGACCCTGGAAACCCATGGCTCCCAAGAATGGGGCAACATAACAATGGAACCAAGTCTCCTGTGTGTAGAGATATCCATACTTTACATATTACAGCCACCAAAGCAGCTCATCAAAAAGGGACTCAAAGAAGGACGTTAGCCGTACATGGCACCATTTTGTCACCTGATATTTAATGATGTTGATAGACTCTGAGAAGAGCAGCTTTACAAAGGTGTATGTTACACACTATGGTGTTTCAGACTTTCTGAGCAACTTGGCACTAGTAATTCTGGCACACTCATTGCCAGCAATGGTTGTGTCACCAGGAAACCGGTCTCCTGGAATGGGATGGCTTAATGGATGAGGATGTACGCCTTTGATTTTGATAATCACTGGCCATGGTTATTTGATGAATTGTTGCTGCAATCCCAGTGAGGATACACAGGAACAAAAAAGTATGACTTCAAACCCAAATGTCCACTGGGTTCCATACTAGAGTTTCACATAGGTAAAGGTAATAAACTAAATTCAAGTCTTTTTCACATAGAGCCATACAAGACATAGGCTACAAAGGCACTGCCCCTGTAATGGAATTTTGTTTTCATTGCATTGAATTGCATTGCATTGAATAGTATCAGTACAGTATCCAGTTTACTTCTTCCCACAAAAACTTCCAGCCTGTTCCTCTGGAACACTTCACACAGTGTAAAGGAAGATCTCGTTCTTCCTTATGTTCAGCCATCCAGTATGAACGACATTCTTCATACATAACTTTCTTTCACTTTCTCGTCCTGTAGAAAAGATGTGAGAACTGAAACATCCACTACTGTCTGGTTTTTGTGTAATGACAAGTCCTTTAAGTGGTCATCATCACTTTGGTCCTTGGCAAAGTTCACAAATACCTGTCAAAACAAAGAAGGGCTTTATAAGTACCTCTTGACTTGTTCTTTCTTTATTCTAGCTGCAGTTTTATTCTAATTGCATTGTCCTCATGTTGAAATTAGGTCAGGCAGGAGAATACAGAATTGCATAAGTAGATTAACTAGAAAACTGTGTGAGGGAAGATAAGATACTTGAAAAACATTAATAATCATTTAAAAATTCATATTCTGTGTTAATCCCACATCACCAACTTCCATTGATTAAAGGGAAGAGTGAAGAGAACATTTACTGAAAACCTATCAAATGCCAGGATCTGTTTAGTAGTTTTTGTTATCTAAATGGGACAAGGCACATAGCAAAATGCCCTATCTATGATAGGTACTCAATAAATTATAGTTGTTTGGAGTATTAATTCAGTAAATTCTCATAATAATTCTGTCAGGTAGAAAGCATTATCTTCCTTTTTGGTTCACAGAGGTTTAGTAAAATGCATTGCTAGTAATCATAGATGAGGAATTCAAGCACAGATAGTCTGAACTGTGCTCAGGCTTGTGGTGAAGGTGTGAGTAGGCAGGAATCATCAACCTGGGAAGAAAATCTATTTTTGACACTAAAAGCTTACTTGGTCAAGTGTTGTCTGAGAAACAGAGTAGTCTTCTATGTGGAGTCGCTTTTTGCTCTGGGAGAGGATACTGAATATCCTGGCCAGAGAAGATAATGAAGAGGGAAGCTGGTACTGTAGCATGTTCCGGTGTTTCTCTTTTAGGACGCTTCCTGGGAAGGCAAGTCCAAAGAATTCCTGGACAGGCTTCAGGTCAGGATTGGATCCTGCTATTCGTACAACTATTGTATAACCATCTCCAAACCTGAAAGCAGGAAAAAAAAAAAAAAACACCCAAATGAAGTATCCCCAGGAAACTTCTCAGAAGAATATTTACCTCTGAGAAACCAACTTGTGCCATGAAAATGGGAGGTCCCTGAAAAACCCAGAGATCAGTTTCAGAGAGAAGGAACCAGTTATCATTTATTGAGAATCTATGAGCAGTGCCAGATGCTCAGTGCCCTGATGCTGAGTGCCCTGTTTCTCAGTGTCTTTAATCCTCACCTGGATCCATGAAGTCTGACAGATGTTACTTAAGCCCAGGGAGTTAGTCACCTGCCCATGATACAAAGTTCCTAAGTGGTAGAGGGGAAGCAAACCCATTTGCATAGACGCCAAAACTTGTGCTGTTAATCACACTGTCATGTGAGTTTTTTAATTTCATAAATAAAGCAAAGCCAGGAAGTATTATTCTTGGGAAATAGACTCTCAGAAAGGCTAAGTAACTTGCTTATGAGTCAAACAACCAGTATATAATAAAGACAGAATTTGACTATGGTTCAGTTTGACTTCAAAGCCCTGATTCTTTGCACCATACTATTTTTCCCAGTTTAATTTCTCTTTATTTTTAAGCTACCATTTATACACCAATGAAAGAATAATCATCAAGGTTTCTAAATAGGTGCTATCCTAAAGAAATAGTCTCTTTTACCTATTTTTCAGATGTTGTACACTGCCAAGGCACCTGAACCTCCCATTGACCATAATTGCCATCCTAGTACAAAGAGCTTCACATTCCTCCATACTGTGGGAAAACAGAACAAAGTTTTAGTTTCAGAGACATGCTCCCATAAACATCACAACATCACCATGACATCTGGCATTTCAAAGAAAAAAGTTTCCCAGCTTCCAGTGCATAATCACATCCTATTCTAAAGACATGTCGATATACAGATGAAGCTCCTCTCTGCAGTGCCATTTAGAATTGTGAATAAGTTGGAAACAATTCAAATGTCTAACAAATGGAAAGAATTAAATAAATTAGGATATATACTAATGGAATACCATTCAGCTATAAGAGATGATGACATACTTAAATTTACTGACTTAGAATAATGTTCACAATAATATTAAGTGAAAAAGATCAGAGTATATATATACACTATGCTTGCATTTTTGTTTGTAAAAATACATACACACAAGTACACATAGGTTTGCATAGGAAATCCCTGCAAACATGCATAAGCCAATGAGAACAATAGATGTTTTCAAGTAATACAATTTCAGGTGATAAATGTAACCTTGGCCTTGCTGTACTTTCTAGCTTTTACTAAATGAACATGTATACTATTTAGCAGATTTACAAATAACACAATGTAAAAGTCAAGCCAAGACTTCACTACAGACCTATGAGATGTAAGCACTACTGATCTCCCCTCCTTGACGATGCTTAGGGCACAATTCCACAAGAATCTTCGGGCTTTGGGATCCATGCCTGTGGTTGGTTCATCCTGAAATTAAAGTAAAATAAGTTTTATCATTTGCTATAAATAAAACACCAAAGATAGACTTGTTTTTAAAAGCTGAAGCATTCTTAAACATCATAAGTTTTAACTTACTATTTTAGTTATTTTGAACCAAAATAACAGAATAAATTTCAAACTCACTTAGAACAAGTTCACTTTTATGAATGTCTCATTGAAGCAAGAAACTCAAATATTCTAAGGAAATTTTTTAAAAATTAAACAAATTTCTTCAAATAAATAGGGAAGGAAAAGAGCCATTAGTTTCAATCATCTTTTCATTACTAACAAGTATATACTAAAAATTCTCTTTGTCAGGATAAGGTTTGAGTAAAATTCCTTTTCTTCTTTTTTTATTCTAGTCTACTTCAGCTTATCTGGTTATAGTCTAGACCATTCATATGATCTAGATTATTCTATAACCTTAACCCAAGGTTTCTTCCTATAATAACTTCAGTGTTCTTCTCTAGCAAAGAAAGGAGATCAAAGGCCACTGCTGTCTAATGTATTTTTCATTTATCTCTCTTAAGGAACTATGATCCAGTGAAGAGATCTTTTTTTTTTTTATTAATACTGGGGATGAAACCCAGGAATGTTCTACCCCTGAGATACACTGTCAGCCCTTTTTTAATACTTTGAGACAGGGTATCATTAAGTTGCCCAGGCTGACCTCCAGCTTGTGATTTTCCTGCCTCAGTCTTCCATGTAACTGGACTTACAGATGTACACAACCACACCCAGCTACTAAGGGGATCTGAAGCTGTGTCCTCACTCTCCATATTCAGGTTATGAACACATAGATGATCAGAAAGAATGTTCCAGAGAAGGACCAAATCACACATTCAGCCTCACAGACTTATAGGGATTCTCCAAGCGAGGTACGTGGGGTGTCTATTTGACAGAGTCACCCCTATTTGTGCCAAGAAAGAAACTCCCCTCTTCTTGAAGGTTGCTCTGCCACACAGTCAATGGCCTATTTTCCATTCAGGCCAGACCAGTAGTTTTCCACCCAAAGTCACACTTACCAGAAATACCACAGGTGGCCCACCAATCAAAGCCATGGCTGTTGAAAGCTTGCGCTTGTTGCCTCCACTATAGTTACCAGCATATTTTTCTCCATACTTCACAAGGCCCAGTTTCCGAATTGCCCATTCACCAACCTGGAGAGATAAAGCACCTTGACTTTTGTCTGCCTTGGTAATTTTAGCATGCTTTGTTACACTTATATGTGAAAGTTCTTTGATTAAGACTGGATTCTATAATCATGACCTGCAACTACAGAGGTACCAGAAAAAAGGAGAGGAAATTTATGTGATGGGAGCAGTACTCCCTCTCTGCACACCCCCAACCAATGCATGCCTACCCACCCCTACTCCCCCACCATTATGGGTTCCCACCCATGCATGAGGAAAACAGCCTGAAGTAGTCATATGTGGAAAATCCATAAGGTATGGTGTCAGGATGCCAAAGAGGCAGGTTGGCTTTCTAGTATCCGTGGTACCTTGCCAACTTCTTTCTCTGGGACTCCTCTCAAGAGGGCAAAGAACTCTACATGCTCTCTTCCAGTCAGCAGCTCTGTGATAGCATCAAACTGAGGGCAATAGCCCATGTTCTGATGTACTTCATGGATATTTGACAAGATACTGCAAATGAAAATAAAACTTGTTAGGTTTTAAGCATTTAGACATATTCTAATCAGACAATCTGGGTTAACATTCCTATAGAGTATGCTTGTGCTTTACAAAGATACCAATATCTGCTGCTTAAAGGAACAGCCTTTCTGCCCCTCAGATGATAGCTGTTCCCATCTGTCAGGGTTTCTGTCTCTACCCTGCCTTATCTTTGCATCTGTATCTCCCAGCATTTCAAACATGCATGCTTGGTCCTGTTTCAAAATCCCTGAGTCCATGCCCACTGCAGCAGTCTTTACCAACAACCTAAATAACACTATCTGGAGCTTTAACATCTTCATCCCAGACTTGCTCCTGTGGTCATATGTACCAAGTGCATTGTCAGCCCAAAGTTGTCTTCATGACCATCTGGACCCAGAAATCCTGGGTGTGAGCTCCCTTCTGCCTTCTGCTGAGCCATACATTGACTCAACCACAGTGTGCATATTCCACATATTCTGGTCCTACCAAATACCTAGCCCAGAAACCCTCCTAGCTTTTAAGGGTTTTTTGCTTGTTCCTTTATCGTAGACCCTCTGAACATGTGGAAACAGAAAAATACACCTACAATCTTACAGGTGGGGGCAATTTTTAGGTTCTTTGATGCCAATAAGGTTAAGAATCCCTAATGTATGAAAATTTCAGTGTCTATATCCCATTTTCATGCCTGCACTTCACACCCTCAATAAGATACATTAATACTCACACATATGATTTAATGAAATGTTTCATAAAATGGTACCTGTTGTTACTACTAATAGTACATTCTGATAATTCTTATTCTATTCTCTAACATGTCATTTGAAAAGTACTGGTTGTGACCTACTTGAACTTGGCCTTTTGGCAGTGGTCATTCATCTCTGCTTATCTATTTAGAACTCCCAGTGTCAGCTTTCTCCAGAATTATGACTGAGTCAGTTCTTATAACCCATTACTATGATAAACCTTAGGTTGAGCCAGTTACTGCTGCCATTGCTAAGTGCCCCAGGAGCATTAGAAATAAGCCTAGGGAACAGTGGTATTCCCAAAAGTTCTGTTCTTTTAAGGTTCTTAAGTTGCTACTGAAATGATTGATAAGGGGGAAAAAAGATCAACGAGTACATCAGTTTCCTCACTCTTCAATATTATTGGCTATTCCCCTGTTCAGTGTTTTCAAATTTAGAGTCATCTCCCATTAGTGATTTATAAAATAAATCCACAACCAGCACTTTTTAAATGATATGATATGCCGGGCGCAGTGGCGCACACCTGTAACCCCACAGGCTTTGGAGACTGAAGCAGGAGGATCTTGAGTTCAAAGACAGCCTCAGTAACAGCAAGTCACTAGGCAACTCAGTGAGACCCTGTCTCTAGTCAAAATATAAAATTAGGCTGGGGACGTGGCTCAATGGTTGAGTGCCCCTAAGTTCAATCCCCAGTAACAACAACAACAACAAAATTAAATGACATGATAGAGAATAAAATAAGAGTTATTAGAGTGTATTTTAAGTAGTAACAGCAGGTACTATTTATGAAAAATTTCATTAAATCATATGTGTGTTAATGTATCTTGTATCAGGCTGAAGTATAAAATATTATATCCTACATGGATCATGGTTCAGAAAAGTTTAAAGGTCACTGCCTTTGTACCATGTATCCATATAGAAAGCCTGAAGAAACCCCACATATTTAGAGCATTCAAGGTTAATACTGCCTAACAGGCCTCTAATGTGTTGCTGTACTCCCAAAGATCAGACTGCTTTGTAACTGTACAGTCTCAGAAAACAGCCTAGTGATGGCTTCATCAGTGGGTCCACTCTTTCTAGAAGATGAGCTGGCAGGTAATACCTTGTAGAAACTAATACAAAGAAACAATAAAAGTTGTATACAAGCACATATTTATATAGTAAAAAATAAAAATTAATAAATGCCCAACATTTATAAGGAATTGATTAAACAAATTATAGGTACATGTACACAGAGGAATTTTATGGAGCAATGTATTTTTAACCCACTGGAAAATATTCATAATATAACCATTAACAATAAAAACTAATTTTAAACCTATATGCAGAATAATCTCAATTTTATGATACATTTATATGTGTAGAAAGACAGATTTGGGGTGATAGAAAACATCTAAAACTGGATTGTAGTGATGATGGCACAATTCTGTGAATTCACTAAGAATTACTGAATTGTTCTTTAAAAACAAGTAATTGGGCTGGGGTCGTGGATCAGTGGTAGAGTGCTCGCCTAGCACGCACGAGGCACTGGGTTCGATCCTCAGCACCACATAAATGTAAAATAAAGATATGTGTCCACCTAAAACTAAAAAGTAATTATTTAAAAAAATAAAAAATAAAAACAAGTAATTTACACGTATGAAAAAGCTGATAAAAGTGATGCAGTAAGACTGAAAGAAAATGTAGAGTGGTTATCTCCAGGTAGTGAAATTATGGATGATTTTTTTTGTTCTTCTTTAAACTTTACTATATTTAACAGTTTCATTTTTATGAAATCTAAAGTGTACTATTATAATCAAAAAATAACAATGTGTTTCTTTAAAACTAAAAAAAGTCCTTGTAACAAAATACAGATCACTTCTTTTCTCACCTATTTTTGTTAAGGAAAGCATCCCCTCTGGTAACAGTGGTGTCTCCAGTTAGCATCTTGAAAGTGGATGATTTCCCAGCACCATTAACTCCCAGAAGTCCAAAGCACTGAAAGAATAAGACCAGGTGAGTTGTATAATCAAACTACTAAAACTAAATTTGAACAACCCTAGAAAATAGCCAACTGAGCTTCATTTTTATATGACATCATCCTGAAACATCATTCTTAAATATCAATGACAAATATCTTTTTGGTTTAGGACATCATACAGATATTAAATATGTATTTTATAATGGGATCATTTTCAGCAAGTCTGTATTTTTAAGTACCATTTGAGTTGTCAGATTAAGACAAAGTTAATGGATGTGTGAAAAACAGTAATGAAAGCCAGTTAGTCAAATTATACCACCTTATTTGACTAAAGGGCATAAAAGGACACATCAGAAATGAGAAGGAGAAAAATCTATTTGAATTCCCTCATCCTCTGAAATAGATCACAAAAGCACATTTTGGGTGTACATGCTTTTCTTAAAATGCCCGAGATTATCCAAAATCATTCTCTTGATATAAGGGGTCCCCAATCTCTTGATGACTGATTGCTTCACACAGGCATAAGGAGAGAAACTTTGAAAGCCATTTTCATCCTTTATAAACATGGTTATTTGATTGGATAGATACAGTGTGAATTAACAAACACAATGCAGACAAAGTGTGTTTACCTCACCAGGAGGAATGCCAACACAAATCCTGTCAACAGCAGGCTTCCTCTTCCTCCTATATATCTGCAACAGACAAAATGCAAATTCATGAGCTTCAGTGACTCACAGCTCTTCCAAGCAACTGTGGCAGAGAGGATTATAACCCAAACACGCCATGAAATAAGACTCTATCAATAAGACTAAGTCATATATGATGTGCTAAGAGCCATTTCTCTCTCTGCCAACCAGGTGTAACTTTGAAGCTCAAAATAAAAGTGAATTTCTTTTTAATTTTTAATTTGGGTCTTTTAAAAAATATATCAGTCACTAATATCTACATATTTTTTCCATGTATTATTTATAGTTCATTTTTAATTTTTTTAAAATTTTTTTTAGTTGTAGGGGGACATAATACCTTTACTTCATTTGTTCATTTTTACATGATGCCAGGGATTAAACCCAGTTCCTCACATGTGCTAGGCAAGCACTCTTCCACTGAGTCACAACCCCAGCCTAAAATTAGATTCTACAGGATAAAATTTTGCAATCAAAGTATTTCAAATATTCTATGTGTTACAAAAAGTGAAATTTGGGATTCTGCCATCTAAGCGGGCATTAGAGACATGTCAGCTTTGGTGATTATAAAATTTAAAATCAACAATTTATTCTCCATACCTCAGTTTTGACTAGATATATAATATTAGTATGTTTTTTCTTCATTTTTTATTGGTGCATTATAGTTGTACATATTGATGGGATTTGTTGTTACATATCTGTACATGCATACAACATAACAATATAATGTTTTAATAACTAACACACAAATAAATATAAGTAAAAGAAATAAATTTGAGAATGGAAATTCACATTACAAAAGTATTCTCAGTAGACTCTCTAATTAAGAAGTTTCCATGTATCTTTAAAATAAAATTAAATTGACAGTAGCTTAGTATAGATGCACATTTGGGGAAGCAAGCTTTTTCATTAAGCAACTAGGGTAGTTTCCAGCACATACAACTGAAAAATTAAGCCTGTAATAGCCCCTACTCACTATCTCACCTTAGTCAACTCCTTGATTTCCAAGATATCATTCTGTCCTCCACCATCCAGAATTCTCTGTCTTTCCCGCCTTACATCTTCATCCTCATCATTCAAAGGAGGAAGCTTTGCTTTCACTGGTCTTAGAAGAAAAATTTTAAGAAAAACAACCTTTCAAACTCTTTTTAAAAACAAAATCCAGTCTCTAAAGCAATCTCCTAAAACCTGCTTGCCACAACTTCCAGCCTTGGCAGGGTAGGCGTTGCAGGATGCCCATAATAGGAAAATCAATTTGATTTTATTGAGTTCAAATTCGATCCAACCATCCTTGGCAAGTGTTTCCCTGTGTCCCCTCTGTGACCCTCTACCAAGTGCTCCATGAGTTCTGAGCAAAAGCTTACCTGGGCCTGATGAAGAATCTGTACTGGATCAGAACTGTAATGAGGAAAAATACCACCCCTTCCACAGCCATGGCAAAAAGGTTTCGTCCTACCAAGTCCCAAGAGAGTGGTGACACAAAGCGATTCTCCCCTAGTAAACAAAATTCAGAAATCAAGTCAGAATGAAGGTGTCAAGAACCATGTCCTTCTTCAAACATGGGGTCCAGTTCACCTATTTTCCTAGAAACACCAATGGCTATTACCAAAGAAAAGGAGAAAAAATAATGAGAGTGACTACTTTTCAAATCTGACTTGTGGGAACATACTACTACCCTGTATCAATCAGAATTTTAGAGCCAACATGTCTTAGATCTATAACTTCATGTCAGATAGCTAATATCTTTTGAATGAGATAGGCCAAAAATCCTTTTAGATAAGGCAAACAATCCAGGATAATTTTTAAGGTCAGTATTTTAATGAATTCCAAGTTTTTAGTAATAAGAAATACTAGAAAGCACATTAAAAAGATGACCATTTCAACGGCACATAATGTAACCCAGTGACTCAATTAAGTCACCTGATTTTATCTAACTATTCCTTAAATTCCTTATACATCTCCTTTGTACCTCCAAGTTGAAGAAAGTCCCTCTTCTATGTCTGTCAAATGACATGGCCCATCTAACTACATTAGCCAGTAGATGAATGACAGTCATATGATGATATGAGAAATATTTTTAACCACTCTAAAGGTAGAAAGAGCTGCAGTGAATTATCTTTTTATAGATTGTGTAAAAGATAATATATGACCTCCAGGCCTGTGATTTTCCTAATAGAGTCAAAGTGTACATCTCTCCTTCTGATTCTTGTTCTGTATCTAAGTCCCAATGCTGTGTTACTTTTTCAGTAATTCCAATAAACTCAAGTAGTAGCATGAGGCACTGGGTACAAGCAAATGCCAGCATTTTCCTTACTCCCAAAAATGCCCTTTCACAGATAAATAGCTATGTCACACTACACCAGAACAGCTGTACTGGCATAAACATTCAGGGGGGCAAGAGGAATATGGACATCCAGTGCCCATTCATCAGTCCCTTTCCAAAACAAAAGCTAGGGCCCAAGGCCCATGCAATTGCCATCTCTTCTGAAACCTCTAGCAGCCACTGCTCCACTCACCAAATCTTTCCAGGGCATCAGCCATTGCCTGGTTTTTCACCATATCAATGAGCCCTCGTCCCAAGCAAAAATGTGGGAAGATCAAGAACACAGACTTCAGGATATCATTGATGTTATTCAGCTTCTAAAAAGATAACAGAGAGAGAAAGTATGGATGTCAATCATAGTTTAGGCTAAAAATGTATCCAAGTCTGAAATATGGGAGTAAAGAAACAATTTGATTCCCTGAGAATAAAATGAACCTTTGAATTTGGATACCAATAAATAGGAGTAGGCATTTTCCATATTTTTAAAAAACTTTGGAGTAATGCTGTGGGTATAAAGAAATGAACAAAGAATAGCAACAAGGCTATGTTTGACCAGAAGCAAATCCATAACAAAATATTTGCTTAATATTTTAAAAGCAAATTGCTTGTGTCTGGGTCAATATTTGAATTTTAGGATTTTGCTAGAATTTTATAAAAATCTTCTTAAATACATCAAAAATTATTATGACACCCAGCCAACATTGGCCACATATCCAGGGATTAAGGAAGTTACTATTTGTAAGATGCACTGTGCTGGGGCATGGGAGAGGTAAAAGCTAATGAATAAATAGTCTCTGTGGTTAGGAAGAGAAACATGGAAATAGGAAATGACTATGTAACTGGATATGTGTGGTACTAGAGGCAGAACGGAGGGCTCTGAGGGCCCAGGGAAAAAGAGAGCACATCCCAAAGGGCAGAGTAGCACAACATCACCTTTGAGCTAAATCTTGAAGGGCAGGGAGAATAGTACCAGGCTCTGCAATACAAGAAGGGCATTTCAAGCCAAGCCTACAGGATTATACTGAGTTTACGGGACAACTCTGCTAAAGTTACAGGGCTTTGAGAAAGGGTGTAGTGGGAAGCGGCCAGGAAAGGTTGTTCATCTATGAAACCCTTGTGTGCTGAGCTAAGGTATTTGGACAAAGGCAGTGACAACAGGAATGGAAGGAGTCTTGTTTATGCGACGTGTAACTGAAAGAACTGATGGGACCAGTCAAACATGTGAAATAAGCAATAGCAAAGCATCAAGGATGATTCCAAGAGAGCTGGGTTAGGCAACTGCATTGGATGGTAATGCCAGCAAGTATGACAGGGATGGCAAGAGAAACACTAGGTTCTAAGGGGAAAGATGACGACATATCCAGTTCTGGGTATCTATAAGTTATTTAAATGAAGCCATCCACCAGGTATGTGAAAATGGGAGAGTAGAGTTCGAGGGAACAATCAAGGCATAAATCTGAGAGAACAATAAGACACTGAGAAAGGCAGTGGTGCACGCCTTGGGATTGAATGGCATTGCCCAGATATGGTGTCTCAAGTGGAAAGCAAAGCTGACAGAGGACTGAGCCTTGGGCAAAGTGACACTGAAATGGAAGCATAAAAGAACTTGACAGAAGAAACTGAAATGTTTGGCCAGGGAAATATAAGGCACAGCAGGAGACAAAGGTATTGTGTAGACCACGGAAGGCTGTATCTGAAAGAGGACGGAGTAGTCAGCAGAGTCAAAGTCACAGAGAAGTGGAATAGGATCCTAATTAACCACTGTCCTCTGGCACCCAGAAGTGCCCATCCCAGTAGGAGGTGCTCTTTCTACAGAACTCACATTGTTGGTAAAGAGCTCTAGCACAAAAGTGGCCACACTGCCATTGATGCCGATGAAGAGGTTCACACTGGTGAGCACCACATAGGCTGTGCTGGGGATCTTGAACACAAAGGAGGCTGGGTACATAAGAGGTGTGATTGACCACCTGGTGAGACAAGAAGATAAATGTCCATTGGAGTCCTCTACCCTCCCTATGACATTGGGTAC